ATAATATATATTAAATTATAATATTTATTTCATTATTATTAGATGAATTTGTTAGTACTAATATGTATAAAACATTTAATGTTAATATTATTAGATGAATTTAGGATTAGTTGAATTATAGGATTTATAACAATTTGAATTGCATTTTTAAATTTAAAAAAAAACAGTTGAATTAAAATATATTGAAAAAATGAAATAACTGAAATCAGAAAAGCATTGCAATTTCAATTATCTAAAAATCTTTTAGAAAAAAATTGTTTAATATTATTTATAATAATTAATATTATTGATAATAAATATTTAATAATTTTCATATTTATTTTAATAGATACTTTTATATATCAATAATTGATATATAGTATTTATGGATAATTTATAAAAATATAATATTTACATTATATTACAAATTTTTTTATTTAATTCAATAACAAAACAAATTATTAATTAATTAATTAATACAAATAGAACAAATTTGAGAATCGCTGAATTAATAAAAATAAAATAAGAGAAAAATAAAAATTAAAAACACAAATATGTAATAGTAATAAAAATAAAAAATAATGCATAATTATCAAACATGAAAAGAAACAAGCGGAAAGAAAAAAAAAGTAACGAAAGAAATATATAAATACCATTATTTAGTTATAATTGCATTACACCGACATGACCGCAATATATACGAAGTAATTTTGTCATAGTATCCCCAGACAAGCTATCGCCATGTTCGATTTTCACGAAAAATAGTAACTTTAGGAGAAAGTCGATAAAAACTCGCACAGAACTTTAAAACGAATTTTATTCTATGTTTATTACAGACGCTTTGTGAACATTGTTGCATATCATGAGACATCAGACGAAATTTTCAACTATATCAATTTCAATTATAGTCAATTCTATAATTATATTATAGAATTGTGTGAAAATGATATAACATCTTCAGATTCTTCTAATGATAATGAAAATAAATTACAATAATAATTTATTTGTATCATCATAAAATGATAATATGGAAAAAATATATTTTCAGTAATTTTATATTATAGTTCTTTTAACTTTGAAATCAATATAGAAATTTAATAACTAGAAATTATTATAAAAATTTCATACAAAATAAAAATGCAAAATATATAATAAAAATTTGTAAAAAAATTAACAAAAAAAATATAATTTTCCTTAAATGCATTATCATTTGTATTCTATTGATTAGCAATAATGCAATCTAATATTTCTTGCACGATCTTTCATTCAATTATTTTTTTATTTTTTCTTAAAAAAAATCCTCTTCCTCGTTTTTTTTCTATTCTTTCTATTCATTTTTCTTTCATGATTTTTAACCGTGGTTTTGATTTCGCTGTCGCAATATTATAATTTTCCGCATTTACAGTGTCCGGTATATCCAAAATTTCATTTCGTTTATTATTTATGCGTTTTATTTTGTAACATTTTATTTTCATGACTATTAATAATTTAGGATTTGAGTCTAATCGAATTTATGCAAACGGCAATTACATGAATGTGCAATCCGATTCTCCTTTTTGCTCTGTTACGTGTATACTAATGTGTTTCTATACATACACGAATGCAGAGAAATGCGTAATTCTATCTTTTTCTATCTTTTCTACCTAAAGTTTCATGGTTTATTTGCGTGAAGAATGAACGCAAAATAATGGGAAGAAAGCTCATTATTAAAAAAATAATGGGAAACAGCAAACGATGATATGCTTAAATTGAAAGAACATTGATAATAATGAATAATATTATCATAGACAGAAATATTATTTTTAATCAAAATATAAATCAATAAATAAAGGTTTAAATTATGACAAGTAATCATTTTGTGATTTTTAATTTATATCTATTTAATATAAAAATAAATTAATTATAACATAAATAGATATTAATATATGTAATATATGTAAGTTCGTACAATTTTAACTGTTAATACTATATGTTGTACATATACATATTATGTTTTATTAAAAGTTGAAATTAACTATTGATTTAATATATTATTTAATATAATACATTAAAAAAAGGAAAAGAATTATAATTATTTTTTACTTATAATAAAATAACAAAAGATTTAATATCATTACATTATCATAAACAATAAAAAAAGTTTTATTTTTTATTTTTTGAAAAAAGAAAATATATGAAATGTATAAAAAATTATTATTTATTAAATTAATTATTTTTACACAATATTTTTTCTTAATAGAAAAGAAAATTATAGCTAAATACAATTATTTTATTAAAAATTTTGATTTATTCGATATTTTCTAACATTAAATATTTCTATTCTCTTTTTGAATTTTTATTTCTATAATTTTTTTTGTTAATTACTTACTATTTATTGAGACTAATAATCGTTATATATGATACATATTATATTTAAATA